AGTCTTAAAATTGATTAAATCATTGAAAAGACAAACATGTAATAAGTTTTTGCTCTCTCTTTCTCTTCCCACTCTTTGGCTATCATTTCACTCAATACTCAATATTTTAAGAGGAATTGTCGTTCAATTGTCTCCGACTCTAAATAACTAGAGATTTGGTAAACTAGAGATAAAAATTGTATTTTTCTATTTGAGTCAAGTGTTATTCAATGTTGAGGACAGGGATGTAGTATAGAGAAGCTGATAGAGAGAGAGAGAGAGAGAGAGAGAGAGACCAGTGTTTGTCTAACTCACCGGTCGTGACATTTGTTGAAAAGACAGCACTTTTTTCTCCTTAACTTTCACTTTACTCTATGTTTTTTGAGTATTTCTGTCGACTAAAGAATATTCTCAATGTTTGCGAGCAATGAATGCAATGTTTTAGTGTATAAGAAATATAAGGATTGCGTATAATATAGTCATTATATGTTTAAATAGAAAGAAAAGTTTTTTTTACTCAATTTTGTTAGACTTTATTTTCCAGAAAAATACAGAATTTTTATATTCTGTTAAGAATTGTCTACAAAAATATTTTTTACGTCTGAATAAAAAATTTATTTCCTAAATATATATACTTATTATTTTAAACAAAATTTTTTTTGACTCGTTTATGCGAACAAAAATAAACAAAAATATATTTTTGTCCCTTATTTTTATAGATAATATTATTTATATATTAACTCTATTGTCGAGCAAATGATAGGAAAATACAATCTATTTTAAGATAAGTAAAAACGTGAACGCATTCCGAGAACCAGAATATTCTGAGCCTTACTTATGACATATAAAAGTAGTAAATATGAAATTTTATTGTAATTGTTTACACAATCAATGACTTTTTGGGGGCGAGTATACAGTACAGAGAAATGATGTTCATTATTATAACCGCACAGAATATTATAGATAAATATATATATAAATGAAAGTCAAGTCAAGTAATCAAACTTCTAATGACGAATGTTTTTAGTTATTTAGAAATATATAACACATATACAGTACACACAGCATATGTAGTATTGTATTTATAGTGCACTCAATTCTGTATACAGAATATTCTGCACACATTGAGTATATCCACCGAAATATATATATATGTTATGTAATGTTTACACTAATGAAAGCAAAGTACTTTAAGTGTATTTGTCTTATTTTGTCTGTAATGATAATAATAACACAAATACTATACTAATACACAGGGATCTATCTGATACAAGTATAAGCAAGCTACCCACCCTAGGTCTCCACAAACTGGAGACCCTGAAGCTACAGAATATATTCACGTTGAAAGAGATACCATCGGTGGTTCATTTCAGAGAGATTCGCACGGCTTACCTCACCTACCCCTACCATTGCTGTGCATTCAAGTTCCCGGCCATACATACGCCCAAAGAATACGCCAGATATCACTTGAACTTCGATAGGTGGGTATTACAATAACATGTCTGTCCATTATCAGTGTATGACTTTTGCCAATTCATTCGCTACATTAGGAGACACTTGAGATTATGTAATATACATGTGTTTCAATGATATAAACATATACTGTAATTGAATTATAATAACTCCTTCGCACTCTCCAATGTAATATATGCCCCCAAGTGTTGACTAATTTGTAACTTAAGATATACTGTACCCTCGTATAAGTGCTTTTATTTTTAGAAGAAGCTGTATATTAGTAAATAAATATTTAATTAAAATAAAGTTATTTTCGATACTTTTTATTATTAGTTTATTTATAAAACCATAGATAAGCAGAGTTTTAGTGACAGAATTAATGGCAATTAGTGCGGGTAATAATATACTGTAAATAATTATTTAACAAAAGTATGTTGATGATTTTATAGTTACTGCCCGGATAAGTCACAAACACCGCATATAATACACGATGGTATAACCAATCAGAATCAGGTAGTGGTTCCCAAAATATCTTATATGATAATTAATATAACATTTTTGTTCACATTTTTAGCCCCTATTTGTATCGTTATATCGGGTGACCAGTGAGAAAGCATCCCATTATGCCCGCAAACTGTTGTCTATGTTCACCGACGATGATAACCTGGATCATACTAGCGGTGACCTAAACGAGTTTAAGTTTAGACATTTGGGCGAATTCGGTCATATGATGAGCGCCGGTACGCGTAGTCCGATGGATAGTACGACAATATACGGCAAAATTGTCTATAATCTGGACGATAACTACACGAATAGCTATAACAACGTACTGGCCCTACAACAGGACGGGCCCACGGGTGCCACACTGTCCACGAAGTCACCGCCAGTTGAACGGTTTGGGGATTTTGCACCAAACATACCGTCCCCTACAGGTGCCAGTACTCAAAATAATATGGGCTCTGTGGGCCAAACTGTAGATAAAATTAAAGACTCTAAAGACTCAACTATACCGGTAATTATTGACTCCATTTCCGGTTAATTATTTTTTTCGAGAAATGTGTTTTGAATGCAAAAATATAATTTTTTTTCTTAGTATAGATATATTTAGTATATTATAATTATTTTTTCCTAGTCTAAGTGATTTAATGTTGTTTTTATGAATAATAATGAGATTTTTAGACATATTTTGATATATTTTTTGTGTTTGTGTGAATTATAATTGGATTTATTATTATTATTATTATTATTATTATTATTATTATGTCTCCAAAAACATGAAATTGATTTCTCGTTTGCCATTCAAATCAGTTTTTTGTCGTCAATTCCCAAATGAATCGTTAATTGATTTTCCGTTAAAAACATCTTTTGTATCCTTTAAAACAATCTATGAATAAAAATAACATTTTGTGAATTAACGTGAAATAGGATTTTAATTATAGCTTACTATTATTGTACGCAGGCTAATTTTTCAATTATCTATTCATAATGTGAGTAGGCATAATTTAATATAAATTCTCATTAGTTGGCAAATTTATTTCTGATTGATAATACCAGTTAAAGCGTCGGTAGTTATGTATAATAATAATTTGCATTCAGTTAACGCTAAATCTCATACAATAACAAAATTTATCAATGACTAGAATATACAGAATATTCTTGGAAAAAATACTCTATTAATAAACATAATTATATCCAGTGTAAAATAAATGGTTATTCTATT